ACGGACAGGTGGGTCTGCGCGCGGGCGGGGCCGGGCCTCGGCCTGTGCAGCACCGGCGCTGGGCCTGCGGGGAGCCTCTAGGACTCGGAGCGCGGGGCCGAGGAGCTTGGCAAAGCCGACCCGGCGGGCTTGGAAGGAAAGGGGAACGAGCACCGCGGGACGGGAGAGGAATTCAGGGTTTCCGAGCGCTTAAGAAGATGGCAGTGCCCATCACCGGGGCTCTTGCGACCATTACATGACTGTAAAGCACCTCACGGTGTCACTTTTCAAAAGTTGGCTATTGTTGAGTTCACTAAGGAAATTTTGAAGAGTTGCTGGTCCCAACCATGTTCGTAGACTGGCGCAGAGAGCCCCCGGGGTGCAGAATTGTGCCCGGTGTAGCCAGGGAAAGAGAGCCCCCGGGGTGCAGAATTGTGCCCGGTGTAGCCAGGGAAAGAGAGCCCACGGGGTGCAGAATTGTGCCGGGTGTAGCCAGGGAGAGAGCACACGGATTAGGCACAGACAGCCCGTGGGGCAGGTTAACGGTGTTCAGAGGTGTCCGTCTGGAGGTGGTTTGAATTGGTGCCGCTTTGGGCCAGACAGGCCCGTTAGGCAAAGGTTAGGGGCGAGTGGAACAGTCACTAGTGTCACGTGTCCCATTAGTAAGAGTGAGACAAGTAGAAAATACTCTTCCTCTCTCATGGAGTCAGTCTTTTATTGTGTAACAGCCTCCCTCAGTTTTCCATATGCCACTGAAATCTTTTGGAGAAGCTGGTGAAAGAAGAAACCACGTGCCAGCTGTGCTTCCCTATGCTGTCATCTGACTCCATCCTTAAGAACCGCTGTGCACTGTCCTCTGTCTAGAGCTGCGCCGTCTGATGTGACGGGTGCTACCCATCCGTAGCTGCAGCCAGACAAAATTGAGATGTGCCGCGACAATACACAAGGATTTTGAAGACCTAAAAAAGTGTAAAATACCCCAGTAATTAAACTTTGCTAATATAGTTACTAGGAATTTAGAATTAGAGGTGTAGCTCGGATTACGCATGTCCCATACAGGACAGCGTTGACGCAGAGACTTGATCACACTCAGGTTCAGGTGTTTTAGATGAGAAGGCTGGGTGGTGCTGTGCGCTCACTTCCTGTTGTGTTACATCACGAGCTGCACCTGCTGTTCGCGCTTCTGAGGTTGAACAGTGAGCCGAGTGCCAGCGGGTCCCCATTAGCCTCATAATGACTGTCGCACCTGTGATGATTGCCTAACTCCATTATCTCACTGGTGGTTGCAAAATGGTGGTTTTTCTTTTTTTAAATACATCTTTATTGATTTCAGAGAGAGGAAAGGAGAGGGAGAGACAGATAGAAACATCAATGATGGGAGTCACTGATCGGCTATCCCACAACCCGGGCATGTGCCCTGACTGGGAATCGAACCCCGATCGCCTGGATCCTAGGTCGACGCTCAACCACTGAACCAAGCCCGGCCGGGCTGGTTTTTCTTTTTATCACTTTTTCTGCATTTGTTACCTGGAATCCGTCTATAAAAAAAGGAACATTCCCGGTCAGCTGTTCGCCTTGAAGTGCAGTTCCCAGAGGAAAGGCAGGGCCCATGCTTGATCCTTTCTCTGTCAGTTTCAAGAGAAGTGAGTTGTGTCCTCAGGAGCTTCCCGTGTTGACCAGCATGGGTGTCTGATGTGCTCAGTTTCTTGATGAAGTGGTAGAATTTTTATATTTGATGTGTTTTTCTCCTTTGCACTTGTTTTTAAAACTTTCTAAAACCTTTATGGGGGTATAACTCAAGTACACTAACTCATCACCACAGAAAGCAAACGCTTCCATCGCCCCCCAGAGTTCCGCAGGCCCCATTGAAATGCCTCCCTCTTGAACCCGGCCTCCAGGCAGCTTCTGAGGCCTGGGGCGCTGTAGAAAAGCTTGCATTCTCTGGAACTTGATTTAAATGGGATACTATAGTGTGTATTCCTACCTTGCTTGGCTTCTTCTACTCAACCATGATGCTTTTGAGGTTCAGTCATGTTGCCTGTATCAACAACTTGTTTCTTTTTATTGCTGAGTAGTATTCTGTTTTATGGACACACCATATTTGTTTATACCTTTATCTTTTCATGGATACTTGAATTGTTTCCATTATTTATTATTTTTTGTACTCCTACCAATGAGAACTCTTCAAGTTGGCATAAAAAACTTGTAATTAAAATCTAGGAGCTGGTGATGACTATAAAACAAAGAAACTTAGTTCCTATACCTTTGAGAAACTTAAAACCTAAGTGTATAGGACATTTTCTTTCAGAAAGAAAATATTTTTTAATACTGTATGTTAGACTTTTAGGCCTCCAGTCATTTCTCTCATACCTGGTGTGTGTGTGTCACATGTGGGGCTTGACACACCTGAGCTCTACAGAACAGCTGGAAATAAAATGTCATAGATAAAAAGCTTCCTCTTTAAGAGTAGGATTTTGATTTATTGAGAACATTTGTAAATTTTATTTCTAGACATGACAACCAAATTATGGGACCATATGCAGAATCCTTTTCTATAAAGGGCATTAAAGCAGTTGGCAATATCTGAATAAGTCTGTAGGTTAGATAATAGTAATGACAATGTTAATTCCTTAATTGTGATCATTGTACTAGAACTGGGACATGGACATCATGGGGGCCAGGGTGGGGTGGGGGCACATCATTCTTTCTACCACACTGTTGAAAACACAAAATGGCACATATCTCTTCTGGAGAGGAATTTGACAACACCTAGCCAAGTCACATACCCTTTGACCTAGTAATTCTACTTTTAGGAACCTATCCCAAAGGTAAAATGGTGAAAACAATTTAAACTAAAGAACAGACACTCGTGTACAAGGCTATTCACTGCTACATCATTTACGACAGCATAGAGTGAGGTGCGGAGAAGATAGGCACAGACGTGCACACATGTGCCCTTGGCGTGAGTGTATTTTCAGGCAGATGTAATGAAAGGTCAGAGCTCAAAGGGAGGGCAGAAACAAGGCTGGGGCAAGGATGAAAGCCATTTTTAAATGAATTAATAAGTAGGTAGTTAAAATTTTTCCAGCTTTACTATTTAATATGGTAAATATCAACAGATAAAACTAAACAAATTCTTTGGAATACTCAGTAATTTTTAAGACTAGGAAAGGATTCCGAGATCAAAAACTTGAGAGCCACTGAGCTAGAATATAGTCTACTAAGTCTACTTCAGTTTACGTGTTCCTGGTAAGGAATGGCTTGGATCTCCTTTCATGAGCCAGTGGGCCATTTGGGTATCCTTTCCATTTTTATTCTTTTATTTTTTTTAATCCTCACCTGAGATATTTTTTCCATTGCTTTTCAGAGAAATGGGGAGGCGGGGGGAGAGACGAAAACATCTTGTGAGAGACACTTGGGTTGTTTGCCTTTCGCTTGTGCACCATCCAGGGCTGGGGGTTGAGCCTGCACCTGAGTTATGTGCCCTTGGCCGGGATTGAACCCGGGGTCTTCAGCCTGCAGGCTGACACTCTAACCCTGAGCCAAACTGGCCAGGCTGGGTATCTTTTTAAAAGTGCCTGTTCATATCTTTTGCTTATTTTGGGAGGAGGGGTTGTCTTTTTAAAATTTGTAGTCCCTGCCTCCGGTCTTTGAGATGTGTGCCTTTTGTCAGTTCTCTGTGTTTCAGGCAGGTATCTTCTCCCACTGGTCGTCTTACCCCTTTACTCTCAGTGGCGCCTTTGGATTAACAGAAATTCTTAGCTTTAATACAGTCCAATTTATCAAACTCTGTGATCAGTAATTTCATGTCCTGTTTAACAGAACATGCATGTAATTTTTTCATTTATCTTCTAGAGGCTTTGTTGTTGCTGCCTTTCACAATTAGATCTAAAATCCACATGGAATTGGTTTTTGTGTATAATGAGGGTAGGGGTCAGATTGAATTTCCCTGTGGATACCCAGTCCACCAAGCACCATTTATTGTCACTAGCTTGACCAGTGAATCCAGCCACACACATACACGGAAATTCTCCCAGATAGTAATATACCGTTAGAGAAAGTATTGTTTATTGAGTGTGCTCATGTGAATGTCTAACGCTGTTTTAATTTACAATTTTTAAGTGCATTATGTTAACAGTTATGTTAATGTGAGTTGTGAAATATTTTAAAAACAGAACTTCCAAATAAATTTAAAATGCAAAAGGAGTAGTGTTCAGTTTTGTCAATTAAAGTTGGGCTATTCTGAGCTTTAGCCAGTTCTGATTTGTAACATCTGTCTACATGAATTTTTCTGTTAATGGTGTATATTATATGTGGAATAATATTTTACAGTCACTCTTAACAGAACTAATACTGCAGAATTCATTTTAAACTGTGTACTTCTCAGGAAACGTTCTGATGGCAACTTACAATCCGAGTCCACTAGTGCTGGAAACAACAAGAGAGATGCAGATTTCGAGGGCACAGATGAACCCATTTTTGGAAAGAAGCCCAGGGTAGAAGAGTCAATAACTGAAGACTTAAGGTAGTATTTCCATTGTGGTAAATGTTAGTAACTTGTAAATTGGGTAGCTAAATGAAGTTTTGAAAATTGCTTCTGTGTTACTTTATGAAAGTACGTGCTGAGTCAGAGAAATGAAGATATTCTTTATATAGTTATAAAAGCATATGAGAACATTTACTTAAGTTTGGGGAAATGGAAGACAATATAGAAAAGATGTTTTAATACGTTAGAGTCCAATATTGAGAAAGAGTGTTGAAGCCTGTTTTTTTAAAAAAGAAGAAATGATATGTTTCGTTTATTCAGTAATGCCCCCAAAAAAGTGGAATAAAAAAGGAAGAATAAAACTGACCCAGCGGAAGGAGTAAGTGAGCAGGGACCTTAGGAGGAGTGAGGTTCTCACTGTCGGGTGTAGTGGGAGCGTGGCTGTGAATGAAGACTTCTCTCAGCGAGGGAGACTGTAGACATCTGTGGCTGTGGCAGCTGCTGTTGCTCTGAGTTTGAAAGCTGGGACTCTAAAAGTTGATGACAGCTTCTTAAGGAATTCACTTGTTCCCTTTTGATGGTCTTTGTGGCTTTGTGTCTCCCTCCTGTACGCCACATTCTAGCTTGGCACTACCATGAAGAACTTACTCTTTATGATTTTTGTAACTAGTTGGCTGTTAATGTAGTTAGCAAAAATAGCTGTGGTGGTAGATGTGTGACCAAAGTATTTAAGGTACACTGTTTACTCAAGCTAGTAGAGTAGGTTAAAAAATAATATTGGCAATTTAAAATTGTTGTTTATTGTAGTAACTCTTGGGTTTTATCCAAAGCATGATTATTGGTTTAAAGTAAAAATCAGAAGTACAGTGAATGAGATGAACCTAGAGCAGAAATGTGTCTGTTTTTCTTCAGTTTATCCACAGTCATGTCTTTTCAGAGCCTATAAAACCTGTGTGAGTTTAACTTAGGATTTTGATGAGAATAGGAACCACTTCTATAAATGACTGCAACATCTGTGTTAGACTAGTTTATTCTGTACTTTCTATCATATGATGGTTTTTATAACCAGCTTTACATCCAAAGTAGTGACAGTGCTTCATAGAGGCATTTTTTATTCAAAACAGTTGCTGGAACTAAGATAATTCTTTGGTAATCCACTTGGAGACTATTTGTTCTGTATTTGTAGTAAAAGCTGTTAACTGGTTATTTTGAATTCTCAGCATATATTTGAATAATGTGAAATTTTTGAATATTCTGAATAGCCAAACTTTTTCCAGTTTGGAATATTGTTTTCCAGTGCCAGTGGGAGCTTACTACCTAATCATTTATTCTAATGTAACTCTAACATTTTTTTTTTAGTTTGGCAGACTTGATGCCCAGAGTGAAGGTGCAGTCCGTGGAAACTGTTGAAGGGTGTACGCATGAGGTAAGCACAGTGCCCAATAGGCTGGTTTTATGAATGGGGTTTTGTCTAGAACTCTCTAGCGTGATGGTCAGCAAGCAGTTTGCCCTTGAAGGCTTTGGAAGCAGTAAGAGGTTTCTGTAGAGTGGGCATAGTCTAGTGGAGGAGCTGGGCTTTGTATTCAGCCTGAGCTCAGACCTTGGTACAGTACATTTTTGAACTACAGTTTTAGGTAAATTTCTTATTTATCTTTGTCATTGGTTTTTTATTTCATACATTTGGGATAATGGTATTTATCTCATAGGGTGGTTGTGGGATTATGTAAGAAAGTTAGGAAAGGCCCCCAGCACTGAGTAGGTGTTCAGTGCTTGTCAGTCCCATTCTCCTGAGTGTCAAGTAACAGGGCCACTTGCAGGCCACAAGCTCTTCTGTCTTGCTCTGGTGACACCTGTTGCAGTTTCATTGTTCTCCCACGAGGTGGTGGTCACTGATGGCTTGTCGTAACCCTGTAGAAGTGCGAGTTCACAAACATGAGGATACAAGGAAACTGAAACACTCTTTCTATTAAGCCTTCTTTCTTTGCAGTAAACCTTTTAAGTTGTTATTATAGGTATGAAATAAGATTTCTTGGGGCTGAGAGAACAGGAAAGGGCTGAGAGCTGCAGCCTTCCATTATGAGTTTGTTAAGGGAACTTATACACCTGGCGTGTTGTGGGTGCAGCGAGAGGACACGGACATCCTCAGTACAGTGTGACAGGTTTTTTAGGACAGGACAGGATGGATGAGTACTAGGGCCTCAGTTGCCTCAGATGAGGGGAAAAATACCTCATATGCTTGCTTGGGGGCAGGGCAAGGGCCTGTTCTGGTAACCAGCACAAACCCAAATGCTGTGGGGCAGAAGGGAGAGCTGACCAGTCTGGGGGGGGGTTTAGGAAGTAGTCTCTGTTCTGACCGTGATCTGTGACAGGTCCGGCAGCAGTTAGGCAGTGGTCACCTCACTGGGATAGTCTCTCCTCCACTCCAGGCAGTTGGGGACTTATTCAATGTCTGTTGAGTAAACAAAATAATTCCAAATTAACACAATGGCTTTTGATAAAGATTTAACACCTTGTTTTTAAAAATGTCTGTTTTTCTACTAAAGTTTCTTGTTTGCCTTTGGAATAGCACCTAGTTTGGTAGGTGTAATATATATCCATTTGACCATTCACTCAGCGCTACGTTAGACCCCGTTTGATGCTCTGGTCTTACGAACATGGTAAAAACCAAACACATACAAATTTTGCTCTCAAGAGTTCAAGAGCTCTTTCTGTCAACCTTCACAATTATCCTCAAGCCCTCTGTTCTGTCACCTGCTCTCTTTTTCAGCTGGTCACTTTGCCTTTTACTTCATGAGGCTTGAGGATATCAAGTGCGGTGCCCTCTGATTATAACCTCCTTCACCAGGCCTGTCTGCCTCTGTCCTATCCACTCAGAGGACAAGACGCTGCGTCTTTTGGGCTGAGGAAGCTTGCTCTGCACAAACACTTAATCATTCCATTTCCCTTTACTGTTTCTTAGTCTCCTGTTCTAAGACAACAAATCTCATCTTACACTTGCTTATTGAAGTTTTGGTCTTAGAAATTATAATTTCTGCGTGTACCTTACTTTGCCCCCACTCCCCACCCCATGGATTATTTATACACTAACTGGTTTAAGTCTTGGGAATGTAGATGTAATTGCGCTGCTCTCCAGATCTTAATCTTCACAAATGGGAGCATCATTTTACTCCACATAGTTCTCGTTCGTATGGTGACACCCCTTTTTACGTCCAGTCAGCTTTTTTGAACATTCATCAATGTCAGGCAGTACATTAAATGTGGAAAATGCAGATAAACACAGGTTAGAAGCTTCTCCTTGATCGTTAGACTGAACGCTAGCAGGGGCTCTTTGCGTGTTGCAGCCTCAGCGTTTTGACTTGATCTTAGAGGCATTCACTTAGTTTCAGTGTCAAGGACTATCAGACGCTGGCTCATCACTTTTAGTTTTCAAGCTATCATTGCCTATGAAGTGCTGGATGCATCCATTCTTAAACAGTAAGTTGGTGGTTGTTTTTTTTACATCAGGTTGCACTTCCTGCAGATGAAGATTATTTACCACTTAAACCTCGAGTTGGAAAAGCTGCAAAGGTCTGTACTTTGGGCAATACAGTATTTTAAGCTTTGTGAGTCTCTCCTAAAAAATCTTAAAGATAAATTCTTTCAAATGAGATTTTTATGCTTCCCAGTGTAAATATACCAAGAAGAAGCTACCTGAAATAAAGTACAGTGAGAACTGAGTCAGTAAACAGACATGCTGAGAACCAAGCATCATGTGATGAGATTTTAACAAGTTAATGATTCTGTTTTTTTAAAGCATCTCCTGAAAATTACCAATCTTTCTCTAGAAAAAAATGCATGTGTACAGTAAGTTTTGCACATGGTTTTACATGTTTAATAAGCTGCTAATAAAACCTAAACTTTAATGCTTGTATTAGGATGGATTTTGAAGTTCTGATAGACCTTAAATGATTGGTACACATCTTCCACGTCATCTTCTCTAAAGGCAGTGTGGTGGAGTCAGCCTTAAAGTCTAATGGGTGTATCATGCTGCCTCTGGTAAGAGAGCTTAGTAGGAGATGTCACTCTCCAGAGCCGCAGTTTACATCTGCGGAAGAAAATGATACCTAGTTAGGGTTGTTGTGAAGATTAGTAATATATGGGAAATACATTGCAAAGTGCATGTTCTTGATGAAAGTAGTGATTTGTTATCATTAATATGATGTATATGTAAGCGTATGATCATAATTGAAAGATTACACAGCAGAATTAAATTCTATGCCATCTAAAGATATTTTCACTCTTTTTAATTTTCTCTAGTGGGTGGTATATTTCCTAAGTAGAATCATAAAGAAATCTCCCAGGATGCTGCTGGGGATAACGTTTGTAGATTTTAAGTGTGCTCTGATGTGTCTAGAATTTTGATGTGGATATTAACCTGTGTGTACTTTTTACAGGAATACCCGTTCATCCTTGATGCTTTTCAAAGAGAAGCTATCCAGTGTGTTGATAATAATCAGTCTGTGTTGGTGTCTGCACATACATCAGCGGGGAAAACTGTATGTGCCGAGTGAGTAGCTTTCTTCTTATGTGGCATTTTAGGTCTGTTAATATCTGCTGTGTGTATTTAGGCGCTCCTGTGTTGGTGACATGATGAACATTTCACACGTTAGGTCTTGTTGGGTGACCCTGGATCGTTATGTAATGCTCTTCAAGTCTTGTCACAGTCTTTGTTTCCGGTCCCTTTCGTCGTGATTTAAGTGTTGCCACCGAGCTTTACTTATGTATTTGTTTTGGTTTCCATTTGCAAGGAGTAGCTTTTCCCATCCCTTCACTTTCAGTCTGTGTGTCCTTACATCTGAAGTGAGTCTCTCTATTTTCTTCTGAGAGTCCTGTCGTTTTAGCTTTTGTATTAGGCCTTTGATCCATGTTGGTCCCAGATTGTCTCTGTGTAATTGAGTAGTTTTCCTGGTGCTGCTGGTTTTTTATTCCACGTAAAGCTTTTGAAAGAGCTTTATTGTTGTATAATTTATATACCGCTAACCCCCCCCATTGTAAGTGTATGGTTCAGTGGGTTTTAATAAATTTGTGCAGCTGTGCAGCCCTCACCAGTTTTAGACTTTCATCTACACAGTTCTCTCTGTGTTTGTATTCAGACCCACTCCATACCTCCATCCAACCCTAGGAAGCATCAATCAGCTTTCTGTCTGTATAAGTTTTGCCTTTTCTAGAAATTTTATGTAAATGAAATCGTGTGATATGGAGTCTTCTGTGTCTGCTTTTTCCCCCACTTAGCATAATGTTTTTGAGGTTCATTCATGTTGCATGTATCATGAGTTCATTTCTTTTTATTGGTAAATGCTGTGACATTTTATGGATATGTGACGTTTTGTTCATCGAGTTGATAGCCATTTAAATTGTGTGTTTTTTTTTACTATTATGAATAATACTTATGTAAAAACCTTCATGTACCAGTCTTAGTGTGGATGTGTTCTCATTTCTCTTGGGTAGATACCCAGTTATTTTACTTCTCATCTGTAGAATTTTCACGTGGTTATGCTGTTATATTTCGGTTTCTCTGTTGAGATTATCTATCTGTTGAATCATTGTCCTGTTTCCTTTAATTCTTAGAATATGGTTTTCTTATGTTTTGGGGGCATGTTTCTGATAGCTGCATTGAGGTCTTTTTATACTAAGTCCAGCGCCTGGGCTCACTCAGGATCAGTTTCTCATGACTGCTTTTTTGCCTAAGTATAGATCACACTTTCTTGTTTCTTTTTACATTTTATTTTTTTTAAAGTGGATATTTTAGATAACATATTGTAGCATCTCTATATTCTTTTTTCTTGCAATTCATATTTGATTTTTAATTGTTTATTTCACTATTTGGGGTGATGGTTGTGGTAGATATTATTTTTATTTCCCCAAATAGGTCATCAGTCTGTTATGGGCAGAACTGTAACAGGAGGATCTACCACAGTGCTGGCTTAGTCCTGATTTCATGGTCTATATTTAAATACTTGAATTCAGTTGAATTTAGAAAACAAACTATATTTCATTCTATTGGTAGCTGTGGAAGAGCTTTTTCACAGTTAGAACCCACCATGATTTCCAATCAAGGACTGATTTGATAACTCTTACATGTGAGAAAGGAGTGTATATGGATTAACTTACTTGTGAAATTCAAAAGAAAAAACTTCATTTTCCAGTGTTTTCTAATTGTTTATACTCTGTATATGTGTAAACTGACAGGCAGAAGCTCTAATCTTCTGGAGGCTCATTTATAGGACCGGAGGTATTTTTCTCACAAGAAATAGGGTAACCATTAGTAATCCATTGGTATTAGTAATTAAGTTACATAAACTCTAACACCAGAGTTAAAATTAAAATTTGCTTATTTATTTAGATCAGCACACTTTAGGCTTATCATCATTACCATTATAACAGTTTGTCCATAGCAAATACAGTAAGATTAATGTTCGGCAGAGTTTATTATGGATAACTAATTATGGAAAATTCAGACATAACTTACATGTTAATAGAATTTTTTAAATCATATACTTTTTTGGGGGTATTTTTAATGTTTTTAAATTTTCAGTTACAGTTGACATACATTATTATATTAGTTCCTGGTGTACATAATCACATACTTTAAAGAAAAGGTTTTGTAAGTACTTGATTTTTGTTTGCTTTCACATTTTCAGGTATGCCATTGCGCTGGCCTTAAGGGAGAAGCAGCGTGTAATATTTACCAGCCCAATTAAGGCTCTGAGCAACCAGAAGTACCGTGAAATGTATGAGGAATTTCAAGATGTTGGTCTGATGACGGGAGATGTTACTATTAACCCTACGGCATCCTGTCTTGTTATGACCACAGAGGTAATTTATGTGATGCCTCATCCAGTTTTTCCTTTTTAATTTAATTGAAGTATCCAATTAGAATACCTAATGTTTTATCACTTGGTCTATGAAGTAAAATATAATACCTTCTGAGTAGATTTACTTGAAAGGGATAAAACTTACCTTAAAATTTTCTAATTGTATTAATGTAGTTATAAGTTAATTAATATTTATTACCTGTTTGTAATATAGCTATAATTTTTTTTTTCTTGACCAGGTGTTTTTAAAGGCTTATTGTCAGTGATGTAAAAATACTTTCATGGTTTTTTTGTATGCATAATTTCAAAGATTTGAATACCTAGTTTCATATTAGTAGATCTTCTTCATGTGGTTTTTTCCTTCTGCAACTGAATGTTGACACAAGTAGGTAGATAACTGACTTTTTAAAAGATGCCCAATTATGCTTAGTTTCTCCCGTAATCACAATTAAGTTTTGCATATATATACACAACATCTTAGGTTTTGGACATAATTAGCTATCTAAGTACCTTTATACATACTTAAATTCTTGCATCCTGCAAGGTACAATAGAGCAGAAATTAACTTCTGCTCTGCAGAGTCAGCCAGAAGCATTCCTCACTTCCACTTTGGTGCCCACAGTCAGTCTTATTTTCCACTTTCAAAACTTTCTGCCATTTATGGACATCTTTTTTTAACTCAGAAATGAGGATAATTGTTACTAGAAAGTATCCATATTGTGAGATGAGGCAGAAAAAAATGGGTAAACAGTATGAAATCTAATGTGTTGGATAGAAGATAATTTACTCATATCCTAGGACGTGTATATCTTGGGATAAATAATACATATCAGGAAGTGGCTTCATATTTGGGATATGTGGAGATAGAGGTGGTACTAATTCTCTTCATGGATTGTACCTGAGTACTGAGTGTTGAAAAGTCATTTATTTTGGTTTTATGAGAAGAAATTTGTATCACTTATGAAATAGATATAAAATATGTGTAACCCCCTAAAATTAGTTTGTTTCTATTAAAAATTTCCAAAATTTCTTTTAGAACAGCTTTTTATGTCAAAATTCTGCTAAATCTTCTATTTTTTTCTTTAGATTTTGAGAAGTATGCTGTACAGAGGTTCTGAAGTGATGCGAGAGGTTGCTTGGGTCATATTTGATGAAATTCATTACATGAGAGATTCAGGTATGTTCTGCTGTGTTGTTGAGATGTGTGTGCCATGTATTTTCCTTAAGATGGCATTAGGAGTTCTGCTTGGAAAAACTTCTGAGTTTGTGAACATGAGGGCAGAAGGCATGAAAACTCCACGCCCTGTCCTGCATACCTTGCCTCATGTACTTCATCTGGCTGTTCATCTGTATCCACTATTGTAAACTGATAAAACTAAAAACTAAAAAAAAAAAATTTGTTTTGATATTTCATGTGGCAAGAGGTCTAGTAAACTAAATTTTTGGACAACATAGTGTATTATTGCCAGTGGGACCTCATTCAGCTACAGCTTTTTAAATAGTAACTTTTTCTAAGTAAGCAAATGCAAATTCAAATGAAACAAATGGAATTAAAACTAGTTTGCGTTAGAGAGCTCGCATTACTTTTAAAGAAACTCTTCTAGCCAGAAGATTAACTTCCTTGATTTTTATTATTCTTTTAGGTTTCCATTTGTTTTTTTTAAACTAAGAAATGCGTGTTTACGGTGAAAAATTGGGATTATGAAATAAAAATGATCAAAAGGAAACAATTATAAATGTCTCTGTGCTTGAACTGTTAGACCACTGTAATGGAAAAGGAAGTATACTTGGAATTTTGGATGGAACTGCGAGGGCTAATGTTAACAAACACATTTAAAAGTTAAATGTTTAGCCCGGCCGGTGTGGCTCAGCGGTTGAGCATCGACCTGTGTATTATCCACGAAATCTCAGTTCTGTTCCTGGGCAGTGGGTTTCGGGCTGGATCCCCAGTGGGGGGCGTGCAGGAGGCATCCGATCAGTGACTCTCTCATCATTGATGTTTCTCCCTTTCCTTTCCTCTCTCTGAAATCAATAAAGATACATATTTTTTAAAAAGTTAAATGTTTAATATGTACACACCTAAACTCAGTTACTATTTAAACTTAAGCACTGATTTAAGTGTACTTATATTGGAAATGATACAATTTAAAAAATCATGTACCGTTTGAACATTTCACCCTTTACAAATCCATAGAATTAAGTTCTGACCAAAGTTGTTTTGGTTTTAAAGTCATGAATCCTGTGTTGATCTGTTTATTTTAGGGGGAAACTCTCAAACAGATTTTTCTGGCTTTTTCCCATTTTAATAAAAAGCAACTTAGAATTTTACTGTCCCTCATATATGTCTTTCATCTCTGGAGATTATGAGGGTAATTTGGATGCAAGATGCTTTAGGGTATGGTAATGGTGGTTTTTTGAGATTTGTTGCTGTAACTTTCTAACAGCCATTAACTTTTGCTTCTCAAAGTGAGATGGAGATGCTGTTTCCTTTGCTGTGGGACTCTTGTTAGGCTTCAGTCTGCAGCTGCGCTTTGCAGGCTCTTACCTCAGAATACATTGTTTATAGTGGTTTAGTCTGCTGCCTGCTAGATAAATCATGGCACAGACTAAAGTAGTTTTCAGGAAGGATCTGTGGCTGAAAATACCCTGTGAAAAGTGGTCTGCATTTCTCCTATTGAGCTTAAGAGAAGATAACTAGATTACTTGTCAGTAAAGTGACACTGAAATGCAGGGTGTGTTTGCTTTTTTCAGAGCGTGGTGTGGTATGGGAAGAAACTATTATTTTGCTTCCAGATAATGTCCACTATGTCTTTCTTTCGGCTACTATTCCAAATGCCCGACAGTTTGCTGAATGGATTTGCCATTTGCATAAGCAGGTATTTTCTTTCTTTCTTTTGATGTCCTCAATATTTAAAATGTTACAAGCCGGCCTTACTGTGTCCTATACTTTGTTCCTAATGCTGCCTAAATAAAGAAACTACTTTTCAGATCAAGTGAATTTATCAAAGTGAACCAACTTAGCTTTTTACAAGTGTGGATTTCTGAGTCCCATCTCAAATCCAGTATATCAAAATCCCCGGGAATAGGATCTTGGAAGCTCCAACTTTTAAAAGCTTCCAAGTTGATCCTGATGATCTGCAGATTTGGAAATTTTGTTGTATAGTGAGCCCCAAGGACACAAGTTCCTCCAAGCTGAGCGTGTCCTGAGGTGTGATTTTTCTCATGTGAACACAGACTTTTTGCTACTGTTTCCCGTTGGCTTTTCTAGTCCAGCCTGAGCACAGAATAGAACCTTATAGCAAGCATTTGCCCTGTGTAATAAACTTACTCTTGATTTCTTTTTCCTGCCCTTATTTTACTTCACAACAGTGTCCTCACAAATTCATTTTTTTAAAAAATATGTCTTATTGATTTCAGAGAGGAAGAGGGAGAGAGAGAGGTAGAAGCATCAATGATGAGAGAGTCATTGATTGGCAGCCTCCTGTACTCCCCCCACTGGGGATCGAGCCCACATCCCGGGCGTGTGCCCTGACCAGGAATCCAACTGCGATCTCCTGGATCATAGGTCGGTGCTCAACCACTGAGCCACACCAGCTGGGTACAAAATCGTTTTTAACTGTTTTTAGGCTCTGCTTTCATTTTGCGGCACTCAGGCTGCTTCTGTAGGATAGAAACCCAGTGGGTGTTCTGGAGGAGCACGGTCTTCCCTCCTGCTCTGCTAGGGCTTCCAAAGCTCCCGTGACACTTCAGGGAGCATCCTGTGTCACCAGCTCTCTAGGAACAGGCATCTCTGATGATGGCAGCACAGGTCTAGGGTGTGGATCCAAGGTCATTATCGAAGCTGAAATCATGTATTTGGCCCTGAGTAGGAAATGGGTAAAACTGAACAGATGGTTATATAATTTGATAGACCTAATTTTTCTTCATTTTTTTCTTGCCTTGTTTTAAAGTGATTTTTATAGATTTTTCTTTTTTCTTTTTGAAATGCCACATTTAAACATTTCATTTCCCCAGGGTCTTTTAGGTAGATACACAGTGTTATTACTGAAGAGATAAACTATGACACGTTTAATTGTAGTATTTCCTTCTCTTTGCAGCCTTGCCACGTAATTTACACAGATTACCGGCCTACTCCATTGCAGCACTACATTTTCCCTGCGGGCGGAGACGGCCTGCACCTCGTGGTGGATGAAAATGTAGGGAGCGGAGGGTGGTGGGTCTTGTTGGAGAGAAGTGTAGAGACTGTTTCTTCCTTAAATAGTTCTGCAGTCCAGAGTTGCTGCTGTGTGTGTTTTCAAAGATTTTATCTAAGACTTTCCTCTTGTGCATGAAGTAGATCTCCCTCCATTTCCAGTACTTTTTAGATGCTTAGAGAGGGGGAAGTCTGGACATGTTTCAGGTGTCTTACGTTTTGCCTCCCTAGTTAATCCACTTTATTCTTTTATGACCTCTTAGCACACATTTTTTAACTGCTCTCTTGCCCTTTGTTATAATTATTAATTACTCAGTTATCCTTATTTGGGGAAGTTTTGCTTTGATGTGTGAAAACGTTTGGATTATGATTAAGTATTAGTGAAGGTACATGGAAAACTGCTTGATTCCAGGGTGACTTCAGAGAAGATAACTTTAACACGGCAATGCAAGTCCTTCGAGATGCGGGCGACTTGGCAAAAGGAGATCAGAAGGGTCGGAAAGGAGGAACAAAAGGTAATTTGGAACTTTGTTTTGAGAGAATTTTACATGTAAATTGTATTTCCTAATTATATATTTTGTGTATGTGTGTGTGTTTTTTCATTTAACTTTTTCCCTCAGAAAGCTATGTAAGATATAGATAATATATGACAAAATTGAATGAATGAAGGTTTGAGATATAATTCACATACTATACAATTCACCCGTTAAATTGTCCAATTCAGTGGTTATTAGTATATTCACAGAATTATGCAACCATCACAACAGTCATTTTTTTAAATTGAGATATGATTTATATACCATAATTGTCACCATTTTTAATTGTACAGTTCAGTGGGTTTCAGTATATTCACAAAGTTATACAACTAAAATGTTCCAGAACATTTCCATCAGCTCAAAAAGAAACCCATACCCATTAGCAATCATTCCTCATTTTCCCCCAGCCTCTTCCTACCCTCATCCTTAGGTAATTTTTTCCTGGACATTGCATATAAATGGAATCACAATATGTGTGGTCTTTTGTAGTTGGCTTCTTTCACTTATAGCATCAAAGTGGCTGCACCATTTACACTCCCATCAAAAGGGCAGGGCATGAGGTTTCCATTTCTCTGCATCTGTGCCACCACTTCAGTCTGTTTATTGTCATCCCAGTGGTATACAGTGGCGTATTGATGTGGGTTTTTTGTTTTTTTTGTTTTTTTTATTATTAAGTATGTCTTCATTGACTTCAGAGAGGAAGGGAGAGGGGGAGAGAGAGATAGAAACATCAGTGATGAGAGAGTCATCGATTGGCTGCCTCCTGCACGCCCCCGACTGGGGATCAGGCCCGCAACCCGGGCATGTGCCCTGACCGGGAATCGAACTGCAATCCCCTGGATCCTAGGTCGACTGTCAGCTGCTGAGCCACACCAACTGGGCTATCGATGTGGTTTTGATTCACACTTCCATTTTAGCCAGTAGGGTTGAGGATATTTTCATGTGCTTATTGGCCATATGTGTCTTCTTTGAAGAAATACCTGTTCAAATTCTTTACCTATTTTAAAATTACATTGTCTTTTTGTTGAGTTGTAAGAATCCTTTATACTGGATCCTAAACCCTTATATCAGCTATGTGATTTACAAATACTTTTTCCCATTCTGTGGGTAAGGATTGTCTTTTCGCTTTATTGGTGTCTATTAAATTATGAAAGTTTTTAATTTTGATGAAATCCAACTTTTATTTTTGTTTGTTGCTTGTGCTTTTGGTATCAGATCCAAGAATGCCTTGCATAACCCCAATTCATGAAGATTTACTCTTGTATATTTTTAAAGAGCTTTATAGTGTTAGCTTTTATATTTAGGTCTGTGATACATCTTGAGTTAATTTTGGGGTTTGGTTTTATATACTCTTTGCAGGACCATCAAATGTGTTCAAGATTGTGAAGATGATTATGGAAAGAAATTTCCAACCTGTAATTATTTTCAGTTTCAGTAAGAAAGATTGCGAGGCCTATGCACTTCAAATGACCAAATTGGATTTCAACACAGGTACTGTTGCTTTCAGTGTGGTTTCAGTGTTATTTAAATATGGGTGTAAATGTGTTCCTGATAAGATGTTACGTCTTGTGTTTTGCGAGGGTCTACAGTTCACTTATAGTTACAGTAGCAGGTACTTGTCACATTTGTAAAGGCTTTAAAAGGGTCTTGATTTATCATTTCTTTCCTTTCTGTCTTCTTTTATTGGGAGGTGTAGGTACATTGCTCAGTACAGTCCCAAGAACCCCACTGAGGAGCATTAGAACCATGTCTCACCCTTCACTGCCACAGCTCCTCAGTTAGTGTGGTTCTCTGTCTCATTGCGCGGGGGTTGCTCTCCTATTCAGGCCTCCTCCTGTATGGAGAGTACTGTGCTTCATTCTTCTAGAACCCTGAACCAGGAAGAGCTACCCTTTACCTAACCTAGGTTTTGAATAAAGTAAGAACTTCTAGCAAAGTAATAAGAACTGTACGTGCAACTCACCTGAAGTCACAGCTAGATAGTCCCACAGCCTTGTGAAGATAATCTCTTTAAGCCAATACCAGCAGGTCCTCAAATAACACTTTATTCCCCCTTTGATGTGATGCTGGAGGAACTTGTCTTATTTCTATCAATTAACCTGTGGTAAAGGTGGTCTCATTTCATTATACATCATTTCACTTAAAGTATAGCACAGAACCTATCGACTCTGTTAAGTGAGAACTTACTGTATTTTTTTTGTTGTTGTTGAGAGATTTACTGCTTAGAGATGTTTTCTTATAACTCCCAGTGCTGAATCTACTCAGTGTTGCAGTGTTAATGTTGATGAGTTCAGCCGATGTTTACTGACTACCTGTGTTTTAATAGACTGGATGAGAAGGCAGTGTGATGGGGAAAAGCACAGGCCCTGGACTGTTGCCCTGACAGCTGACAGCAGTGCCGTCAGCTCTAAGCCTTGCTTCCCTCAGTAGTGGAAAGTGATAGTCCCTGGGACGTGATTGTTAGACTTAAGTATTGCACATAGAGCGGTTAATGTAGTCAGTCACTGTTATTATAAGGAAGTACTTTTACTCATGGATTAAGTCTGTTAGATATGTTTTGAAAGGTAGTGAATTTTATTAAATAATTATAGTCATTTTAATCTATTTTCCCTTCTGAGAATCTTCAGTGCTGACTGTTTACTTTCACCCTTCATTGACTGTTAACCTCTGAGTATCTGGAGTATCCCTGGCTCCGGGTTTGCTCATGTGCCTCTGGGTCTCTCAGGTGAGGAGAAGAAGATGGTAGAAGAAGTATTCAGTAACGCCATTGACTGCCTGTCGGATGACGACAAGAAGCTCCCTCAGGTTTGTGCTGGAGAGCAGAGGCGACGGCCGTGGAGAGAAAGCACCTGTTCACTCACTGTGTTTCTTGGCTTTGTTCCTGTATTGCACCATCTGCCCCTGCGTTGTGTCATGCACTGAAGTGGTATCTTGACTTACATTCTAAACGTCTGCAAAGGTGACAAGAGGAGAGGTTTACTGCCTGAGGAACTCCTCTGAAGGCTCTCACAGTGTCCTGTGTTTAGGTGGAATTCAATGTCTCCTTTGCTTTAACCTCGTGGTCTTTTTCTTGGACTATTAGAATTGCCTGGGGGGTTCTGAAATGGCTGGTGCCTGCCTGTCACTCCCAGAGATTTGACGTAATTGGTCTGGTGCTGTGTCCTGGCCATTAGGCTGTTTCAAAGGCTCCCCAGGAGATGCCGATGTGCAGCCACATCTGAGAACTGCTTCCTTAGTCCAGCCTAACATGTGAAAGAGTCATGTTTTGAAAAGTTGGGAGGTCATTGTCTGCTTACACGTGATTACTTTGATTTATAAGGGATTTATGGTAAAACTGATAGCATATTGGTATTTATTTATAATTTATTGATCTTTTTTTAGAGAGAGATGAAGGGAAAGAAAGAGAGAAACATTGATTTCTTGTTCCACTTATGTATGCATCATTGGTTGATTCTCGTATGTGCCCTGACCTGGGATCCAACCCGCATCCTTGGGGTGTGGGGACAGTGTGCTGTCCAGCTGAGCCAGGGCCAGCATATTGGTATTTAAAATAGTATTTAACTTAGAAAGTTTTCTGTAGGTTTCCTTTCCAGCTCATTGTTAGTATAGAAGGGCCAGGCCTGTCCTGATACGTTTGTAACCCAGCACACTTCTGATAGTGCAGTGGACAGCAAGTGACATTCTGATGCAGTGTTGATAAGAGTGACCCCTTCCATACTTTATTTATCTTTAGATGAAGTATATGTTAAACATTTTTATAGTAAATTACTTTCTTTTTGGTTTGAGTTGGCCAGTATTTAAGTTTTTGTGCAGACACTTTTTCCTCATAAGTTTTTAATTTTTTTGGAGGCTATAAAGTGATGCTGGATCATTTGAATGAGGCAGCAAAGCATTTATAAAGTTTATTTAAAACATGTCTTTCAGACTTTTTCACAAGCTTCATAAAGGAAGCTGGGATAGGGTTATTCTGTGTTTTGGGTTTAGTCTGGGAATATGGGTTTGGTTTTTGCTTTTATTCTGAAAAGATTATATAGCGTTTCTTTAAACAGCATTCTTCCTTGATTACCCATTTTCCTTAATTTGGTTAGTTTTAACATTTTAAATTTTCTTTTTCCTCATATTGTAAAATAAACATCATTTCAACCACAGGTTGAACACGTACTTCCTCTTCTGAAGCGTGGGATTGGGATCCACCATGGTGGTTTACTTCCTATTTTGAAGGAAACTATAGAAATTCTCTTTTCTGAAGGATTGATAAAGGTATGGTTTCATTTTTATTTGTTATGCCCTAGAATTATGTGAACAGTTTGAAAATTTTGGAGAGCACTGTTTACAGACAGCTTTGTATTGTTTCGTTGTTGATTTAACTAGGTAATGTGCGTGGCTAAGGTAATGCACTTGACTTTTATCCTTAGTGTTATACAGGTTTCCCCTGCTATCTGAAGCCTTTCATAATCTGAAATGGCAGAAATCAAAAAAGCATTTATATTTACTTACATGGAAAATTATTGCTCTTTCCCAGACCCAAAAATCAACACACTCACAGTGTCTATTTTGTTCATCGCCATCAAAATGCTTAATTACATCTAGGTTTATACTGAGTGTAACACTCTTACAAGCTCTTAGGCTTTTCTGACTCCTTAGGACACATCATGCTAATGGGTGCACAGAGTCAGTCAAGATATGGCACACGTGCTCCCAGACACAGCTCAGAACTAGGGCTTGATGCTGAGGTGCTGAGTGTGATTCCCAGGAAAGGAGCTTGGCAGAGCCACTCTGCTGCAGAACAGATGCTGAACATGGTTTTTGCTTTTCACCTTTTTTGGTAAAAGCGAAAACCCTCTTTGGATTTCTTTTAGTTAGCAGAACAGCTCCTAGTGTAGGTCTTTTGTAAAAGCAAAGTGGTGGAACATGAACTTTCAAAATGGGGAGGAGGAGGGTACTTGCACTTCATAAATTTTGGGTTTAGGTAAAAAAATCATTTGAATACTTTCTTAAAATAAGAAATAGTAACACGATTGGGTGCAGTGGGAGATTTTGTAAGAGATGCTATTGAATTATCAGACCTGGAGTTGATTCTGTAGGTGTACCCTTTTCTGTACAAATTTAAAAGACTTGTTTAGAGAAGACAGGAGAATTGCAGGTAGACTTACACAACAAGTTTTGATTTAAACCACTCTAATTTAATGTTTAAAATTATGTTGATGTCTGTACCCAGAAATGGGATGTTAAAAATCAGTTACAACTTCAGAATGTAGTCATAAGCCTGTATGTGACTCACATTATTTTAAAAATCAGAAATTTATCATGAGAATCTCAGCACTAAGTAGAGTATTGGAAAGAAATTTATTCATTTTAAAGAACATACTTGAGGTGTTTTAGATGAAGAATTGGTCACTGTTTATACTACCTGGGTCTTGTTCAGGCCCTGTTGATGTTCCCTTCTAGACTGTATATTTGTTATGGCCCATTTTAAAGACTCTTTTCTTAAAAGTGTGATGCTAGTCTGTTGTAAAACTCAAATAGAACAGTTGTGCATAAAGTAAAAAATGAAAGACTGTCATTCCTCTCATGTCCTAGAAATTTCCACGAGCCCATGTGCAAGTAAAACATGCTTTGTTTTTAAACAAACGTGATTATACCACTATGTTACTCAGTTTTGTTGCCTGCGGGGCTCTTCATTTTCTAACAGATGGACAGCATTCTGTTGAGTTGATGAAGTAAAGTGTTTGTCTTCTTCCCTTTTGATGGATAACTGTATAATTATTCATTTATTTAGGCGTTGTTTGCGACGGAGACTTTTGCTATGGGAATTAACATGCCAGCTAGAACAGTTTTATTTACAAATGCCCGAAAATTTGATGGGAAAGATTTTCGATGGGTAAGTAAAGTAATTCAGATATTGAAATAATGTTACCTTTAATTGTTTATCTAAGGTGATTTTGGTTCATGCAGTCTTTGAGATTTTTCAGTTCTAAATGCTCATGAACTTACACCTGAGCTAATACCACAAGTTTATCAAGGTTAAACTTTAGATCCTTTACATTTCTATCCTTTAGCCAAAAGCCAAAAATCTTTTGTTAACAGAGTTTGGTGATAAGGAAGGGATAAGTGTGCATATGATTCAGGAATGTTTTAAAGCGTCTTAAATACAAGCATTTTCATTTCCTCAGTAGTTGTTTTTTATTAAAAGTTGTGTGTGGATTTTTTTTTTAAATATGTTTTTATTGATTTCAGAGAAAGGAAGGGAGAGGGAGATAGAAATATCAATGATGAGAGAGTCATTGATCAGCCGCCTCCTGCACACCCCCTGCTGGGGATCGAACCTGCAACCTAGGCCTGTGCCCTGACTGGGAGTCGAACCTGGATCTCTTGGACGACAGGTTGATGCTCAACCGCTGAGCCACGCCGTCCGGGCCATTTTCTCAGTTTTAAGCCATTGGAGGCACCTCTGCTACAGTGGCTGTGGTTGCAGCTCACTGGTTCACCCTCCACATTTAAACCAGAGGTTCTCACAGACTTGACATAGGTCTTCTCTAAGGCAGAGGAAAGAGAGAAAGTGGGGATCATGAGTGAAACACTGAATTGGGGTAAAAAGTAAGTGAGGCAAGTAACCCATTCAGCAGACAACTGGGGAATCTCACACTATGGGCATAGAACTATTGTAGGTCCTCACCATGCTAAAGTTAAAACAAAACCGATCCTACTCTCAAGAAGCTTAGCGGGTGAAAGTCGACAAACATTCAATAAAACGTTACATTGTGGGCTCAGAAGTACGTGTAGGGAGGAGAAAGAATAAGGGAAGTCCCTTGTCTGTAAGGGTCGGGAAGGGCTGCCTAGGGAAGGCGGTCCTCACCCTGAGCAGCAACAGCAGGCGCTGTGGACTAGGCAGCCGCTTCTGGAGCTCACGGGTGAGGGGGGTGGAGGAGGAGAGATTGCCAGTTGGAGTGTCCAGTGCGAGCCGGACACTCCCATCATCTGCGTTTGGAGAAAATTGAAAGTAGTCAACTCTTTACTTAATTTTGTATCCGTGAAAAGGGCGATCTTTTCCGTTTGAGGACATTTCTGGCAGTAATTACTAATCATCACAGCACTGAGAAGTAGCCATGGTGGAATTGTAAAGCTGGAGAATTTTGTTTGCTTTATTTTAAAGTGTGTGGGATGCTATCTATACAAAGAGAAATGTGAATATATGAGGCAGTGCCGTTTCTCTTTAGAAATGTTTCCATAGCCTCAAAAATTTTCTTTGACCTGTAGCTTTTTGAATTGAACTTTAAAAATTTCATACAGAATATGATTTTTAATTCTGAAGCAGCCAAAAGTCATGTTTTATATTTTAAATTAATGTAAAATTTAAAATTCTTCACTCTTATCAGTTTAAAATTACTCTCCAAATAAAATGGATGACTCAAGAAAATAAGTAAATAAGTCTTTTGTGGTTTTACATGCTCTTGGCATCCATGGGCCCCGGGTAAGGATACAGAGGACAGTGGATTACTGAATTTAAGGAGGCGACGTTTCCTTGGTGAATCCAGGTCCTGGTGACGAAACCTGAAAACTGTGATGCGCCAGAGTGTGGCGACGTCCTGGGCCTGCTGCAGTTTATCACTGCCGTTTTCAGATGTTCTTTTCTGATGTTGGGGGGTTGGTTTTGTTTTTGTTTTTGGAGGCTTTGTTGCTCCCAGGATGTTAGGCCTGTCTTTGATGTTGTCAGTAATGTGCCTTCTTGTAGCATAGTGGCTCTTAATGCTCCATGAATCAAATATTTTTTTGCAAATCTGGAAACTGGGTCCTCTCCCCACGAAATAGTAGACAGGCTCTTACAGATGAGACTGCCCGTGGTCAGGCGGTTTGTTGTCGCCCTGAGACCTATCTGGGGGGCTCACTAGCCCTTATCCACTAGGTGGTTCTAGGTGATGAATAGACTACTGAACCATAAGGACAAACACTGAAAATAGAGAATTGTGCTTCTTTAAAACAAATGTTAATTTTACATTAATCTCATTTTGTAAATTAAGAAAATTTATGATCCAATTAGGATTAAACTTCGGTAGAGTTTGGTCATTGTTTGTTTTTTTTGGTTTTGCTGTTTTTCAGAATATCTAACTTAAGATGTTTTTTCTGCCAGTGAATTAACTAATATTTACCTGTAGGTATGGTGTATTTGATCATGTTGGAGCTAAAATTTAAATGTTATTCTTAAGTGTTTTGCATTTTTGTGTTTTCACTTATACTCTCTTAAAAGTTCATGTTTTTAATCATAGGTTTTGGGAGTTTTTTTGAACTATGTAACTTGTGCTTATGTGTTTTATAAGAAAAAATTTAAGAATATGTTTTTACTAGGTTTTCTCTTAAACTTGGAATTTTTTATGATGTCTGTTCAGATTTCCTCCGGTGAATACATTCAGATGTCTGGTCGTGCTGGAAGGAGGGGAATGGATGACAGAGGCATTGTGATTCTTATGGTGGATGAGAAGATGAGCCCAGCAGTCGGAAAGCAGCTGCTTAAGGTTGGCCTGCAACTGCCCTGAGTGTTTGTGTGTCTTGCTGTGCCAGGTAGAAATACTAAATGGTTTTATATCATTCTAGGAAGCTGAAAGTTTTGAGATACTAATTTTTGAGTCTCATTCTGAATGAATTTAGTATACTCGGTCAGCACAGGATAGGTTATGCTGCAGTAACAAACCCACGTCTCAGTCACTTAAAGGTTTATTTCTCTTACCTGTTCAAAATACTCATTGTTACTGTTCAGCAATGTGAGCCAATGGAGAAGCCACATCTTGAACATTGCCAGTCACTGTGCCAGAGGGAAGACGTAGCTTTTTACACCAGCAGTTAACTATTTCGCCCGGAAGTAACACTTCACCACAGCTCATTTGCCCACCCACTGGGGTGGGGCCAGACATGTCATGCTGTCTAGTGTGTAGGCGCAAGGAGCTGTACACCCTGCCAACAGGATTCGAACTGCTTCTTTCCTCTTCAGTGATTTTGTTTTTTCCCTTCATTTTCTCAAAGATGAACTATTTTATCACTCTGTATTGGTCATTTTAAAGGAAAGAACGTATTACATTTCAGCAGTATTCCTTAACATGGAGTTAAATTATTAAGCAATTTAACAGGTGAAAAATATTTGTGTAAATTTTCTTGAATAACTAAAACACTGACATGTTTTTTCCTCTCTCAGGGCTCAGCTGACCCCCTGAACAGTGCGTTCCATTTAACCTACAACATGGTTTTGAACTTGCTGCGTGTGGAGGAAATCAATCCTGAGTACATGCTGGAGAAGTCCTTCTACCAGTTCCAGCATTACAGAGCCATTCCAGCAGTGGTGGAAAGTAAGTTGGTCCCTGCATGGCTCACTCAGCTAAGCCCTGCTCTTGTGCTGCTCGGTCGTTGTGTTTTCTGGTGAACCAGGTCTTGGTCCTTATATACAGTTAGGTAAGAACTACAACGGTCATTGTAACTGACTAGAGCATTTCAAAGTGAAAGTAAGAAAACCTTGTCAGGACACCCCTGTAGTTGATTCAAATTTAGCTCTTAATTAAGACCTGAGGAAGTAAGGAACGAGGAAATAATTGTGACTGATCACAACTTCTAGCTGGGCTGATTTTTGGACATGACTTGACCAAGAGCCTGCTACCCATTCTGTGAACCTAAACATTGCCACCATTTCTCTGTCCCCTGTCCTGTCTCCCCAAGCCCCAGCACCTGTTGTGTTCAGTGTGGTTGTGACTTACCTTTTAAAAAGATTATGGGGCCCAGCTGGGCGTGGCTCAGCGGTTGAGAGTCAGCCGAGGATCCAGGTGATCAGGGTTCGATTCCTGGTCAGGGCACATGCCCGGGTTGTGGGCTCAATCAATGACTCTCATCATTGATGTTTTTCTCTCTCTCTCTCCCTCTCCTTTCCTCTCTCTGAAATCAATAAAGGTATATTTAAAAAAATAAAAAGATTATGGAACATCATCTTTGGCCCCTGGTGTTGCTCCTGAACACTTGAATCTTCTCACAGTTGAATTATCCCTGCATTTCCCTGCCTCTGCTTTTAAAGGAGCAAGTCCTGTTATTTAACATTTTCAAGCCAGTAAACAAAAGACTACCCAAAGTGTAACAGACTTTTTAATGGAGGAGGTAGGAGTTTAAGTGATGAGAGAGGATTGAGGGACTTGCAGCCCCTTCAGTACAGTTTGCAGGGCTGCATGGTGGAGAGGCTGATGCTGTCCCCTGCTTCCACTGCGAGCGCATCTGCATGCCGCTGGCTCGCTCGTTACTAGGAAGGTGTGATTCCTTTGCTATGGATGCTACTAGAGCCTTTCAAAGAGACTGGTGTTACATTCACTATCTTAAATATACCAAAATTAAAATTTGGACTGTGGTAATTAATATTTACAAATATAGTAGTTTATTTTTTCTTACGACAAATTGAGAAGGCTGGCATACATGAGATGTTTTTTGTTTTGATTTACTGAATCCACCATGGATTTTTCAGTGAGCCATAAGAGTAAAGCTTCCAGGATTTCCTTGTTCCTTTACTGCAGAGAAAAATGCAGACTTAATCTTTTTGTTTAGTTTCATTGATAATGCCATAGTTAATAGCAAGAGTTGTGGAGTTACACATGGGACTACCTGAGCTTTAGTTTGCTCTCTTATGCAGTTGGGATAATATCTAGTTTATTCAGTTCATGAGAATTCAGTGAGATAATTTATATTACATTCTTAGTAAGTACCTGTTTTAATTATTGATAAGCTTTAACCCGTTCAAAAATTTGCTTGGTATACTGGAGTAGCAGTCCATTTTGCCTTCACGCACAGGTCTGTTCCCTGTGTTACATATTCTTTGATAGGAATGTGTCTTCGGAACCACTACCTCCCTACTCCCTGTGGAGGAGGGAATTGGTTGCATAGTGTCTTAGCAGTTTCTGGCTGTGTCTCACCTGCTGTGCCCTAGATGCTGAGGCCGTCCTGGGGTGGGGGTGGTACATTGCAGGGAAAGCAGTTGCTCATGCTGAGTTCCTCTGCTCTTTGAATGCGGGGGCAAGAGATGTCTAAAATTTGGATGAAAAGCGGGCTGCACCGAAGCTTCAGGAGTGGTCTGTAGCTGTAGTTAGGTCCTTAGGTACAAAACACAAGGGACTTCTTAAAACATCTCTCAGGCTTCTGACTCATTAGCACAGAAGTGATTTGGAGTGGAGGGTGGGGACAGTGTCTAAGCATCCCAGCAGAGGTCTGAGGCGTCTCCATGAACTCCTGACAGAGCTTAGTCAGTGTTGCACTGCTTCCTGCCAACAGGGTCACTTTGTCACTTCAGGTCAGACAGCAGGACCAGCATTTCTGTGTGTAGTTTTCCTTCTGTAACTTCTTACTGACTTTAGTCTCTCGAATATTGGTATCGTGCTTTAATGGTTTCCTTTTGTGGTAATGTGTGTCAGGAGTAGCTGTCTAGCCTTTAGTGGATGGAATGCAGCCCCTATAAGGAGCTGTGCTGGCCAGTTAGAATAAGCAGGACGAGGCAGGCGGTGAGCTCAAAGGGGTGCCAACAGCAGCCTCTGGCGGGAGCAGAGCCGGCCATGGGAAGGCTGGTGATAAAGAGTACAGTGTCACCATCCTTCCTGAGGACTTGCTCTGGGTTGTACTGGTAGCTTCCTACTCTCCATATCTTTTGTCAGTTAGTCTCTGACTATACCTTTGCAGGTTATGGGTACTGTTACCTTTATTTTGAGGATAAAGAAACTGACGCATGCAGGTTAAGTAGAGGAGCTTGATCAGTGGAATGGAACCCATACATCTGTAGGCAGTTGATTTTCCACAAGTGCCACATGGACAATAGGACAGCTCCATGCAAAAGTATGAAGTTGGACCCTTACCTCACATCATACACAGAAATTAACTGAAACTGATGACAGTCCTAAATATAAGAGTTGAAACCATAAGAGTCTTAGAAGAAAACGTAGGCATAAATCTTCGTAACCTTGGATTTGAGAGTTTCCTGGAGAACACACCAGAAGGACAAGCAGCAAAAGAAAAGAGATTGGATTTCATCAAAGTTTAAAACTTATACTTCAATAGACACCAGCAATAAAATGTAAAGAAAACCCACAGACGGGGAAAAATTTGGAAAAATCCCGTATCTGATAAGGATCTAGTGTCCAGAATATATAAAGAGTTCTTACAACTCAACAACAAAAAGCCTGATTTTTAGATGGGCAAAGGATTTGAGTAGGTATTTCTCCGAAAAAGATAAACAGTTTGCCAACAAACACATGAAAAGAGGCTCCACATCATTAGTTATTTGGGAAATGTACATCATAGCCACACAGGTACCACTTCACACTTGTTAGGATGGGTGTTTTTAAAAAGGTAATTAACAAAATGGTGTGGTCATGTGGAAAACAGTTCAGCACTTCCTCAGCAAATTTAGTGGTAGAATTACCATGAGACCTACCAGTTTCACTCCTGGGTGCATGACCAAAAGAATGGAAATATGTTTAAACAAACACTGTGCATAAGTGTTTACAGCAGTACTGTTCACAGTAGCCAGAAGGTGGAAGTAATCTAGATGCTCATCAACTGGTAAAAGGATAAACAGAATGGTACCCACACACTGGAATATTATTCAGCCACAAAAAGGCCTCAGACATCCCACAGCATGGATGACAAGGCTGCAGATTGTTTGGTTTCACATGTGTAAACTATCTAGAATAGGTAAATCCAGACAGACAGAAAGCAGACAGAAAGGCTGCCAGCGGCTGGAGGAGGAGGGGCATGAGGAGGGCTTGCTTAGTGGGTACGAGTTCCTTTTGGAGTCCGTGAAGTGTTCTAGAACTCGGTGGTGCTGATGGTGGCATACGTTGTGGATGCACAGTGTTTTTATATTGCACATGTGTTTTCTTTACAGAGGTAAAGAACTCAGAAGAGCAATATAATAAAATAGTAATACCTAATGAGGAAAGTGTGTTCATCTATTATAAGATTAGACAGCAGCTTGCAAAGCTGGGAAAAGAAATTGAGGAGTATATCCACAAGCCAAAGTACTGCTTACCATTCCTGCAGCCAGGCCGCTTGGTCAAGGTATGCCGTTTTTAGATAAAATATTTGGGTGTTTTAATATTTGTCTTACTGGTTCCCTGTGGCTCTGATTAGGGGGGTCATTAATCAGATTTTCATTTTGGAGGGTACAGATTGAAGGAGACAGTTTTGGAATTAACATATAAAATACTTCCAGTTATAAAATCTAAAAATAAAGACAGGCTGCTTTTAAACTAAGTTTTAAGAAGGATGAATTCGTTAGCTATAAAATAGGAAAGACTTTAGATGTTCTCAGAACAAATACACGATGTTACCATTTTTGACATTTGTTTTCCAATTGAGAGTCTTGTTATTGCTGCTGAAGAGGTGTGTGGAATTTGGCAGTGATTTTATTCTGTAGAGTTAATATCTTTTTCCGTAGGTTTAACAGTGATCTTTCAAAAATGACTTCACCAGGAAAACTTGGTTTTATTAGCCTGGAATGTAGGTGTGGGTCCCAGGTTGCCTTTGGACACAGATGTCCTTATTCACGTGCTCTACTTCCTTTCAGGTAAAGAACGAAGGAGATGATTTTGGCTGGGGAGTCGTCGTGAATTTCTCAAAAAAGTCGAATGTTAAGGTAAACCATTGTTCTTAAAGTAGAATTCTATATAAATTGTTAGTGAAATGGTTTTTTTCAGACTCATGAAATTGATCAAAGTAGAAAAAGTATTAAGAGAAGTTGTAATAAATTCTGCCATAAGGGATTAAATTTTTAAATAATCTTAAATTTGTGCTTAACAGTATGGGTTACTTTCCTAACAACAACAATGAACTTTAATTTCATGACAGTTTATATTTCTTCTCTGAGTTCATCATTCCTTTATAAGATTTCTCTTTAAATGAATATCAGGGAAAAATCAGCTTTCGACACTGAAAATTAGAATTTTGATTTGGGTACATATTAGAGAGTTGAAGAAAAGAAATTAGGAGAGCTGGTCAGATGTACTTGTCCTCTCTAAATGAAGGCAATAATATAGTTGATTTTGGTCATTATTTGTATAAATATTTTGGAAAGATGACTTATATGTGAAATTAAGGATGATTTTGTTGGTTTGTTAGGAGAGTGACTGTCGTGAAATTAAATCAGCCATCCTATTATATTTTCTTTAGTGCAGTAGGTACCAGCCTATTATCTGCAGATGTGTGACCTTAAGCAAGACATTTTGTATCTCCGCACGTATCTTTTCGTATCTTTAAAATGAAGACACCGGTTTACACAAGATACCCTGCTCTCTCAAGGCTGACCGTGTCCTGGTTTCGCCCTCATTAGCTTCTTTGTCCCCCTGGGTGTAGAGGCACGTAGGACTGAAGCTTTGGGATTGAAAGTCCTGAAACCTGTACATGAACTTTGAGATACTGAAGCCAATTGCTGTTGCAATTATGTTCTTAGGTTTGTGATAGGCGATTGATTAGTGATCAATGACTAATCCCACTGAAGAGCTTCTAAGGATATTTAGTTTATTACCATTTTGATAAAATATCAAAATGATTAGTAATTGTTAATTTACAGGATTTTTTTAAAGGATTGTCACAGTTTACCTCATTTGATCCCAATTTGACAAGCATGCGTTAATCACAGACACACAGTCCCCGTGCTCAGGTAACTGGCCGTCAGTGGCAAGCAAAGGAGAATATAAGGAGCACGTGATGACTGCTTCAGGAAAGATGGAAGCAAAGTGCACTTGGAGCCAAGGCAGGTCGCCACATTGTAAAAGGAATGAGATGTTGGGGAAAGAAAGCTCGAATGTATGATGGGGAAGTTAACTCTGCCCAGGTGGCTCCGTGGCTGAAGCATCATCCCATACACCAGAAGGTTGTGTGCTCGATTCCTGGTTGGTGCCATTCGAGAGGCAACCTATCAATGCCCCCCCTTCCCACCCTTTCTTCTCTCTCTAAAAATCAATTAACAAAAAAAAGACATATCCTTAGATGAAGATTTTTTAAAAAGGAGTTAAAAATTTAAAGAATTTATGTTATAACAGCCCTGGCCGATGTGGCTCAGTTGGTGGGAGCATTGACCCATACCCCAGGGGGTGGTGTGTTCGATTCCTTGTCAGGGCACATACCCAGGTTGTGGGTTTGATTCCCTGTCAGGGCACATATGAGGCAACTGATTGATGATTTCTTGCATCAATATTTCTCTCTATATATATGTATCAATTTTTAAAATCTTAAAAAAAAAAGAATTTATGCTACAACAGTCATGGGAAAGCAAAATAGGACATTCAGTGATTGTCTTGTGCGGAGGATGGCATTGGCGGCCTGTCTTTACCAGGGTGCTGAACGAGAAGTTGGCTGATAAAAATTTTATCTTAGGAAATATTTTAACAGCATTTTTGTTAAATGGTGCAGTAAGGCAGAGTTTTTAATATGTTTCCATAGAAACATGAGGATATTTCTGTAATGTTGCAAATGGTTTGGTAGCTCTGCTGCGACAGGTGATTGTGTTAGATGTGCTTGAGCTCTGACCGTCACCCCTTCGGTGTGTCTTACAGGGGAGGAGGTTAAGCTTACCAGTAAAAGCTACAGAGTCCTAGACTCTCCACACACATTAAAGATTGTTTATAAATCTTACGTTATTTTTGTCTAAATGCTCACGTCCCCTAACACTTTGGAGTTAATTCATTCATCAGGTTGTGGATCTTACTTACTCCGAGGGTTTTTCGTTCCTGGGATACTAAATATAACTCACTCATTCCCCTCAGCCATTGGCACCTTGGAAGAGTTGACAGTTGATTGTAATTTACTTAGCTTAGGGCTTATAAAATTCATTTTATATTGACTAAGCTATACATATACCTAACCTCTGCAGAGACAGACCTAATTTAAAATATTATCCAGCTTTGCTTTGTGTCTGTATCAAGCTGAGGGATGTTTTGAAACTTCTTTAAAAGGAACCATATTTTAAAATAGGGTTGCTGCCCAGCCGGGCGTGGCTCAGCAGTTGAGTGTCGACCTGGGATCCAGGAGATTGCAGTTCAATTCCCGGTCAGGGCACCTGCTCAGGTTTCGGGCTCGATTCCCAGTAGGGGGCCTGCAGGAGGCAGCCAATCAGTGATGACTCTCTCATCATTGATGTTTCCATTTCTCTCTCTCTCCCTCTCCCTTCCTCTCTCTGAAATCAATAAAGATATATTTAAAAATAAAATAAAATAGGTTTGCTGAGGCAAACCTAGTTTCCTTCTGGATTGGGAAGTGGAAGCTGTGCTTTCTTTGGGGAAATTTGACCTTGATGATTTAAGATAATTACGGTTGTGTTCTTGCTTTGTATTTGGAAATATATTTTACTGTTGTTAAACAATGGTAGTTTATTGAAGAAATAGATTCTAGGTTTGGAGTCATTTCTTGACAGTTTTCATTTTTGAACAGAAACTCGGGGGCGGGCGGGGCGGCAGGGACCAAGCAGTCACGTCTTTTTGCCAGGTGTCCCCCTCCATCAAAGTAACTTTTATCTACTTTATGCAAAGTCGATAATTCAGGTATTGAATTTAAAAGCAGAGGGATTCTTTCCGAAGGAAAAGGCCTGATGACTGAGAGGCTGCTGTCGACACGTACAGTGCCGAGCACGTGCTGGGCGTAGCTCAGCAGTTGAGCAGTTGAGCGCCGGAGAACCAGACCTCATTAGAGAGTCCTCGGCAAGATGGCAGGAAACCACAGTGAGGAGGGACCAGTGTATTCAGACAGCTACTTCCAGTGTATTTTGTTGTTTAATTAGGGTAATTTGAAGATACAGATTCATGTCTTCGACTGATAACTTCAATTAAATACAACTATAAACTAATCACTAGAGGCTTAAAATGGCATTTTGTGTCACGGTTGACAGTGATCATACTGTTTGGATTTGTAGTATCGAGGGATTTCTTCTCATCCAGTGGAGCATGTTGAAGGCTGGAGACAGAGCCTTCATTTTGTGAAATAGGCATTTACTGACAGGATGTGCCAGTCACGGTGCTCAGGGCTGAGGACACGGCCCTTGGACACATGGGGGCCAGTGTCTGAGAGTTGTTGACCTCCCTTCTCTTGTTTTTCTAGCCCAATTCGGGGGAACTGGACCCTTTGTATGTGGTGGAAGTGCTTCTACGCTGCAGCAGAGAGAGCCTGAAAAACTCGGCCACGGAGGCTGCAAAGCCAGCCAGAGCTGATGAGAAGGGGGAGATGCAGGTGGGTGCTAACCAGTTGTTATCCCTGGGTTTCCCGAGTGACTGTAACAGACATAGCGTCAGGATTTCTAGATTGGAAGTTTCTGAGGTATTTGAAGGTCTGTTTCAGCCATCTGAAGACCAGTAGAGTGATCCATGGGATTCCAGCTCTTTTTCTTTTACCACGTGTTGGCGGGTTAATGACAAAGTGCAAGATGAAAGAGTTTTAGTTTTCACGTAAAGTTGGATTTTACCTCAGCCATAAAAATGTTTTGTTATTTTTATGATCAAATAGTGATACAGTTTTACTTTATCCTAAATGTCAGTTATTACATCCCTGTGAAAATGATTGAAGCAATGTTTTGATCATGAAAAATGCCTGTCCACGGTTCCATAAAGTCATTTAATTTATTGTGCTTTTAGCGGATAGAAAACATTCAATTTGCCACGTGAGAGCCCATATTTCTTGAACATCATTTTATTTATTTTAAAATAATTAAAGCCCAGCTGGGCGTAGCTCAACAGTTGAGCGTTGACCTAGGATCCAGGAAATCGGGGTTCGATTCCCAGTCAGGGCACATGCCCGGGTTGCGGGCTGTAGCCGATCAATGACTCATCAGTGATGTTTCTTTCTCTTCCCTTCCTCTTTCTGAAATCAATAAAAATATATTAAAATAAATAAATAAAATAAAATAATTAAAATAATTTTAGGTAATATCTTCTTATAGATTTCAGATATGTGTTTGCTAATATGATACTGGGATTTGTTATTTTTACACATTGCTTTAGGTTTGTGGCGTATTGTCTGGGTCTTAGGAAATGTCATGGTCATGATGTTTGTTCTATAGACTGGCTTGTTAGAAACTCAGATCCGCCACCACGGGGTCACACGCTGCATAACCTGAAGCTTGTGGTTCCTCATTGGACAAACCCAGACTGTAGGCATCTATAGTATATCACTGACATTCAGAAATATCAGTGTCTTAAGAGTCACACAAAAACTGAGCAACTATTCCAGATAAAGAAGAGCAAAGAAAGCACAGCTAAATTCACTGCATGATCCTGGATTGGACCATGGAGTAGTTGGGGAGAGGGGAAGGGGTTATAAAAGGCATTGGGAAAGTACATGACATTATTAGGGATGTAGATTAGATATCATTGTATCAACATCAAATTTACATTTTTTTTTACCTTTATTGTTGAAAGTATTACGGGTGTCCCCTTTTTCCCCCTTTGGTCCCCTCCACCCCACATCCACCTCACCCCCAGGCCATCTCCATACCAGTGTGTGTCCATGGGTTATGCTTATAAGCATGAAGTTCTCTTATTAATCTCTCCCCACCCTCCCCCACCCACACCCACACCTTCCTCTGAGACCCCTCAGTCTGCTCCATGTTTCCGTGTCTCTGGATCTGTTTTGTTCATCAGTTAAATTTCCATCTTTTAATCTTTGTTCTCTGCAGGAAGGCGGGGGAGAGAATGAGTGGTAAAGCAGGGGGTCACACGTGGACAATGGCTGAGTAAACTTGGGCGTCCTCTGTCCTATTCTTTCTGTAAATTTGAATTATTGAAAACACCAATACCATAGAAGAACAGAAACAGTAGGGAGTGTTGTAGATTAAGGAAGGTTAGAGAGCCCTGATGCTCAAGCATTAAATGATCCTTGGCTGGACCATGGATCCCAGAGAAGAGGTGGTAATAGTAGTGATATAGTAATAATGGTGGGGTGGGGGTGGGGGTGGTAATAGTAGTGATATAGTGGTGGGGGTGGTAATAGTAGTGATGTAGTAATGGTGGTGGGAGTGGAGTTGATATTCTATAAAGGACATTATTGGGTCAGGGAAATTTGAGTATGGACAGTATAGTAGATGATAATTTATTTTTTGTTGTTTTTTGAATATTGTTTAACTTTTTATGAGCTCATAATCTTGTCGCTGTGCATGAGAATGTTTGTTCTTAGAAGGAACATGCTGAAGTATTTGGTGGTGGGGTGAGGTGACCTGCCTGCAGATTAGTTTCAGATGGTGAAGAGAGGAGGGGAGGAAAGAGGAAGGCAGGAAGAAAGAACAAGCGCCCCTGAACTCTTACGTCAGAGAAGAGGCACATGGCAAGCTTAACAGTTGGGAAAACCTGGTTGTGAAAATACAGTGAATGGACAGTTTATCAGATTATTTTTCATCAATTGCTTTCAAATAGAAGCTTGTAGTCATGGTGTTTAGACGCTGCAGACTCCCATCTTTGCAGCCTCCATCTGTCTCACGTGTTAACAATAAATGCCATCCACCTGTAACATTTGAGTGTGACCTCTGCTATTTTAGCCTTGGTACATGCATATCTGTTCACACTGATACTTATTTCACTAACATTTTTAATGTAGGAACTATTTTACATGCGTTGTATCATTGAATCCTCACAGTGGTTTAATGAGACAGATTTTATCCCCATTTCTAAAACGGGGAAACTGAGGCCTAAGAAGGTTAGGTGACTTGCTCAAGATCACACAGCTAGCGGCAGACTGAATTCAAACCGGTCCCTCTGGCCTCTAGCACCCATGCTCAACTCCTCTCCCGTTTGTTCAGTAAACACTGAATATGTTTGTTACCAGCAAGCCAGTTTTTCATGGATCATAGGAAGGTAGCCATAGGAGCCACCACGCTGACGAGTTTGGATCTTAGTTCGTAGAGGCCTCTGAATTTAAAGGAAGCAAACCGTTGAGAGAAGGGTGTTCTCAGGAGAAAGCATGGAAGGACGTGTAGGTAGGTGATCCTGGAGATTGGGCTGGTGAAGTGCAGTGTTTTCTCTGCCTGAAGCACTAGTTTTCCTCTCCTTCCTTGCATCCTGGGCTCACATGAACTTCCTCGGCCTTCTAGCCCTAAAGAGCAGCCTTTCCTCCCTCTGTAACGCTGTCTGTAGTACTCTCAGGGATTCAGAAAGTGCCCAATAGGAGGGCACAGGTGAAGTATGGAATGTGTATTGAGCAGTCATTTACTTTCATGAACCATTCATTTACCTGTTATTTAGAGGTTTGAATTAGTTTTTACTTTTAAAATACAGTCTCTACTAAGATAAAAGCTCCCACAATGATTATTTTCTACTTATTACACCTGTCGCATATTATAAATGCAGCTTCCTTTTAGGGAGTTAAACTAAATTTGGAAAATGGTAGAATTTGACAATGTGTAGTTTTAATTGTAACATTACGTAACTTTCTGTTGGTAGGTTGTTCCAGTTCTGGTGCATCTCCTGTCGGCTATCAGCAGTGTCAGGCTCTACATCCCCAAGGACCTTCGACCCCTGGACAACAGACAGAGCGTTCTCAAGTCAATACAGGTACATGTGTAGATTTTCTCAATTAAATATAAATGTTGTGTACATATACATAGGGTTTAGAGTGAAGCATCTGAAATGCTTTTACACGTATTGTTTCCTCTCACAAAGCTACAAGCACTAGAGTCAGTTCCTTTAATAACAGTGGTGGCAGCAGAGCTACTGTGGACATCCTCTCAGTCCACTCCAGTGAGGACGGAGCCTCTCACGCTGCACAGGAGTGAGGGAGACAGGGTCTGTGTGTCAGGTCATGTGCCAGGACTTCTTACCATTTTTAATATATTTAATAAATGGTTGAAATCTTTTTAATTTCAGCAAGAAAAATATGACTTTTAGAAATTTTTATTTTCCATTAAAAACAGGAACATTGTTATTTAGTCAGTAAACACATGAGTTGGTGTCTGCTGCGCGCTGGAGGCTCTGTACTAGGACCTAGGAAAACAGAGGTAAAGGAACAGGCCACTGTCATTGGGCACTTTAGGCTTTGGGTGTACCTATCTATTTACTTATTTCAATTCCTAACGGGCCAAACCCTGTCTCACCTTTAAAGCCTGTCCAAGACCCTGCTGTGTCCTAGGGGCGCCAGGCTGCTGTGAACTATCCTTTCTCTGAGCTCACATGCTCATCATAGTTACAGTTAAATCATGTAAAAATCAGTTATCGAGAGGGCTCTGGACCCTCTGAAAAGCTTACATCCTTTGACTAAGTCATGCCCTCTGGGAGTCAAACCCAAGGGAATAGTCGGAAAACTGAAACAAAGTACACACTTAGGAGACCTCAGTGCAGGGTCACTTAAGGTGCTGAGACGTTCTGACAACCTAGATTCAGGGTAACGGACCCTCAGCAAGTTGTGCCGTATCCAGGCTGTTGAGCATAGTGCATCCCTGTATCAGTGAGTCTGAGTATAGCACTTCAGAGGAGTGTTAAAAACAAGCCACTGGGAAATGCACTCACATGGGAAGTTTAAAATTACACGTATGTAGCAGCCTTTTTATGTTTACGCATAGGAAAGCACAAAAGACAATACTGACTTTGTTTACTCTTAACTAATTTTGTTCATAAATGAAAATTAATTTTAAGTATTTGTTTCAGGAAGTTCAGAAGCGTTTTCCTGATGGTGTCCCCCTGTTAGACCCAGTCGATGACATGGGCATTCAAGACCAGGGCCTGAAAAAGGTCATCCAGAAAGTGGAGGCTTTTGAGCATCGGATGTACTCCCATCCCCTTCACAACGACCCAAACCTGGAAACGGTGTACACGCTGTGTGAAAAGAAAGCACAGGTATGGCAGAAACTCGATTGTATCTCAGAATCCTGTGTATTTCACTAAATAAGTGAGAACTAGGTTCCTCCTTCCCCATTAGGGTGTTGACAGAGAGGTGTGTTGCAGAGTCCTAATAAAATATTTGTTTCATTTCGTGAGGAACTCCCATTTTACTCTGTTCACTTTACTGAGCTTCCTTTATACTTCATATCCTTAGATTGCAGTAGATATTAAGTCTGCAAAGCGGGAACTGAAGAAAGCAAGAACTGTCCTGCAGATGGATGAGCTCAAGTGTCGCAAGCGTGTTTTACGGCGACTGGGCTTTGCCACCTCTTCTGATGTCATAGAGATGAAGGGACGCGTGGCATGTGAGATAAGCAGGTGAGACCTGGTGGACGTGGGCTGTTAACCTCGTAGGAGAGAGAGCCACCGTAAAGTGATGAAGTTGTACAATACCTTTCATAGTAAATGCAGGTTTTGACCATGAAATTGAAGAACTAGAAAAGGAAAGTGTTTAAAAATCTCCAGATCCCATTAATTGACATGAACATCACTGGCGTTTTGATGTCTTTCCTTTTTCTATATTTTAATGCACTTTTACATAATTGTAACCTTATTTTATGCATAATTTTGTGTTCTTTCTTTAAAATTATAAACATTTTTCCACCTTGAAACTTAGCCTAATAACCATCATTCTTTTATGTGTGCAGGAGATTTTGTTAACGTCTTGGCTGTAGTCGGGTATTACAGCGTAGCTGTTACAGGCCCCAGCATAGAATCGGATAGAAGCTGTTGTCTGTGTTGGTCATCTTTTGCCACGTTACAGATGACCATAAAACTAAGTGGCTTGAAGCAGCAGCTGTCCTGTCAGTCTGGTGGTCTGTGGATTAGGAACTCAGGAAGCCCACTGGCTGGCCTGGCATTCTGGTCCCACACGAGTGTGGTCAGCCTGAAGTAGATCGAGTCTGTCCATAGTCATGACCATTAGTCTCAGTGAGTCTACACAAAGACATTCTGAAAGTTTTCTATGTACTTACTGTGGCCCCACTGGACAAGGCCAGAGAGCTAAGGCCTTGGCTGTGGTTTCAGACATTGCTGGTAAAGACTCTCATGTTCTCACTGACCTTGGTTCAGATGTTAGGAGCTCAGACATCTGCCGGAACCAGGTGGAGACTGGCGAGCAAGACAATACTTGGCCACCAAAACGGGCAGCGAATGACCAGATCACTAGTTGTTATTGCAGAATAATGTGATACCCGATTTTCCAATTTAGAAAAGCTGGCAATCCCAAATTTGAGGTGAAAGCTTTTGATTTTTAAATGTTCACATACTAAATCAGTCATTTTTTAGTCACCATGTGAGCCAAATAAAACATTTCTTCAAATTAGCTTTGCCCCACCGGCTCCTGTTTTCCTTCAGCCTGTGATGAATTTCAGCTTTCCCACTTTGTCATTAAAGAAACTAAGCACCATATGTCAATAATTTACCCCGGATTAACTGTAGACCTCAGCACTGCTCCTAATTCCTTGCCAAAAGCAATGTTACTGGAATTATTTGTCAGATTATATAGCCCTTAATCTTAATAACTAATGTAGACTAATTCCTGTGAGGCATCTGCAGGTAGATTTAGTGTTGGAAGAATGGCATTGATTTTATTCTGAAATAGAATGCTTAAAGTACATTCCCCTCATTTGCTTTCCCTCTGGTCTCTGTTTTGCTGAATAAATCCCAGCCACTAAAAGCAAAAGCTTGGTAGTTATCCTGGACTCCTTTCCCTTCTGCCCCTTCTCTCGTCTTCCTGAGCGGTGTCCTCTGCCTCCTGCCCTGGTGGCTGTCCCCTCCCCACCTGGAGGCTGTTCTGCAGGAGCCCTCCTGTGTGCATCTCCCATCCTGAGTCTGCAGCTGTCCTCCTTCCTGCTTTCAGGGTGTTCTTTCCAAAGCACACTCCTCCTCTGTCATGCTTTTGGTAAAAGTCTCCTGGGGACTCTGTTGCGTTTTTAATAAACTCCCTGAGTCAGTGTGTTCTTGCCCTCGCTCTCTAGCCTGCCGGTTTCCGTATCGCACACATTGATCTTTCTGTTGCCTAGCATGGCCTTCCGCTCACTCCCCCCATATCCTGCTAATCCCTGGATGTTTTCCCCAAGGTCTTCTGAAACTTGCTCTGAAGTTCTCTAACCTGATTTTAGGCCCCTCGCTGTTTTTAGTAGAATCGCAGTTGTAGACTGCTAGGTCGCCATCCGTGAGCATCTTTCCTGTCCGCCTCCTGCGCTAGACTGCAGTCCCTTACAGTAACCTCTCCCTGTCAGTTCACCATTGGGAACCCAAATTTAGTTTTCTTTGTTTTTGAATAGTTGTAACTGTAACAATTGCTAGTTTATGATTTGATTCTTTTTTAGAACTCTTCCAAAAAGAAAAAGTGTGCTTTTTTAAAAAATAGAGTAACATTCTTATAATTACTGAATGAGTCATTAAACCCTTTAATGTAATGTAAGATAAGCACAGAATGTAAGGTACTTTGTGGAACTTGTGATAGAACTCTGGAGACGCCATCAGTATAATCTTTTTTTGCTTTTGTTGACACAGTTGAGAATTCAGAATTTTTTATTTTCCACCCATGATGACAAAAATAACCAAAAAAGAAAATTTTAAATTATTAGCAAATCAGAAGAGTAGCACAGAGACAAGAGCACCCTCGACAAGTGATGATGGAGACATTAGTCATGTCAGCAAAGTCCTGGACCCTGGTACAGTCTCCCACTCAGGAGTCGGAGTGATAAATATATTTCTGAGTACAAAAGGAAAGTGCAAGGCTCTTACTTGATACAGTCTCCTTTCCATTGGGCAGGAAGGGCTGAGTTATGTGGCACCGTGTGTGAGGGCTTGGACCGTCCCAGGCATCCATCGTTTATGACTGCACTAAATTTCCCTGGTGCCGTTCTCAGTGTCAAATACTGAAGACAGTTGTAAAACAAAGACACTAATAAGAAACAGATCATGAAAAAACTGTGGGATTTATCATTCCAATCTATCATTTGATCTGAATGTACAATATGGGGCAAAGAAGTTGACCTTCCTCTCTTCAAAGAAATTTTGACTTGTCAGATTTTTAAAAAAATATCATGTTTTAATGAAACAAAAGAGGAACGAAAACTAATAATAAGCGAGAACCCAGAGATGTCTTTAAAACCTGGAGTCAGTACATTTCGACAGGCAGATGCACGAAGGATCAGGAGTAGTGATGTGAATGCTGTTGGACGTGTCTTTGAGATCAGGAATCGCGTTTACTGCACAAATGCAGCCCAGACCCATGAGACAGCTGACTAGCAGCCATCTGCCACCTTCGCAGGTCGTGGCCCGTCTCTGTTCCTAGATTTGGGCACTGGGAACGACAGGATAAAATGCATGCGGCTGTGGGTGCTCAGGTTCTAATCAGTCCGTTCTCATTAACCCTTTATTTTTTAAGTTATTTGTAAAACAACAAAGTTAAAGACAATTAAAAAGGTCCTTGGACCTAGATAATAAATGGCTGGAGGGTTCTGTGTTTCTTGGTGTACTGAGCGTTAGACAATGGTTCTTTACCTCAGTGAACACGTGCAGCTTGGTATTGGCTAGAATGGGATCTTTCTCTGCAATGCCCACTTTAAATTTATTATTTGCATATTGGTAATATAAAGACCTGCCATTTCCTTAGTTAAATCTTTGTCACTCCTCACTGATTACTCCTTATATCAAATAATTTTGTTAAGAGTTTCATTTTGAGGGCGCGCTCGCTCGTGTGTGTGTGTCCCCCTGTGTCTTTCCGTCCTGACACTGGGCCTGACTCTCCTGCTGCAGTGCCGACGAGCTCCTGCTCACCGAAATGATGTTCAACGGCCTGTTCAACGACCTGTCTGCGGAGCAGGCCACGGCGCTGCTGAGCTGCTTTGTGTTCCAGGAGAACGTGAGTTCACCGTCTAATGCCCTAAACTGTCTGTTATGCACAAATCCTGTAGCCTCACTCTAACACTGTCACGACAGTTTACTTGTAGAAACACTACTTCATATGTACATACTGTGGGTGCTGCGGGTTAGAAACCAGGACAACTTTAACAAATATAGTGAGTGAGGTAATTAAATGCATATCAGGAAGGAGAGTGACGTGGGATTTTATTTTTGGATAATCCTCATTAAACAGATACCAAGTTTTGAATGTATTCTGTAACCCGATGCCTTGTTCAAAGGTCTGCCTAGGAGGACCGTCCTGGACAGAAAAGGGTGAGAGAGAGTAACGTCAGGCAGAACTAGTGAAAACAGTGGGTGCCTGAGGTTGGGTTCCTGCCCCGCCCCCCAGTGCTGGGGAGTCACTGGTAAGCTGCTCCTTCAGCTCCTGCTGCTGTGGGCAAGGTCTCTTAGGCAGGCACCACGCTGCCCAGACCTCACCTCACCCCTGGATCAGCACGGAGTTGTCCACGAGACCACTTGCACTCATCCCCAAACCACATGACCTGTTCTAATTAGAAAGGTCAACTTCATGTTTCACATTTCATGTTTTAAAGTTTATGCGTTGTGATGAAATGGACAGAATAAGACATTTGCCTTCTGGAGATAATTTTAATGTAGCTGTTTAAGTTTTAGAGGGCCTTTACCGTGTACACAGCTCAACTTCTAAGTAACTCGTGAGACGGATGGTTTCTCAGTTTAACTGTTTCCTTATTTATTAGGCAGATCAGATACGTTACCTGTTAAAGTAGGTGGCACTTTCCTCTCAGCTCCCGATTAGGGTTAGATTGCAGCCCTAGGGGCAGTGCAAGCAGACAGCACAGTGGTCCAGAAACTGTCCACTCCTGAGGGTGCTCGCATGCACCTGTGAAGAGATTTAGGTTCAGATTTTATTCACTGATTTCTGAGATGACTGTTAAGAATGTTTTGCATAGACCTGAGTTTAGAGTGTTCGAGGAAGGTGCTCTTCCTTACTGTGGCACCATGAGTCCTGTCTTCCCAGAGGCCAGTGAGTCGCCTCAGCGGAGGAGCTGGTCTTAGCCAGACCCCAGCTCTGCAGCAGTGGGCAGATGCTCCTCTGTGGGGTGAACATTGGTCTGAGGTCACGCTGGTCTCTGTGGTGCCCTCAGTTCTTGTGCGGGTTCCTTTCAGTGTCAGGATGAAGCCTTGTGCTAGAGTCACAGTGTTCTCTATCTACAAAGAGGGAATTGTGGAAAGAGATACAGTGTAGTTTGCTCAGTACACAAACTTCTGTTTCAAGATGTGTTCTTTCTAAAGCTGGGCCCCACATTTTTTATGCCATTAGACGTAATTTAAAGATAGTGTACAGTCTTTATAACAATATTTACTAAGCACCCACTGTGTACAATGCACAGGTCTAGGCTCGAGAGAGAGCAAAAATGTTTCCTATCATGGTACTTAGATGCTAGTGGATGAAGGTAACAATACAGAAACAGGGAGCACCTGGATGAGGGTTTTGGAGACACATAAAAGCAGAGGAGGCAGGCAGAGATTTCGAGGTTGGGGGAGGTTGCTGTTTTAAATAAGGGGATCAGAAAAGGCCTCACCAATCAGAGTGAAATTGGAATTGAGGCTTAAAGGAGAGATAAGGAGGAAAACTGCACAGACCTGGTGGAGAGCATTGGTGAGACCTCACTTAATCACTTATGGGAGGGCCAGTGCCTTCTACGTACAGGGACACCCAAGGGGAGGACACCCATGGGAGCTGCTGACCTTGAGTGGACATAACATCAAAGACGTTTAGCAGTCCTGCCCTCGCTATTACACTGCTATCCTGATTCACTGTGGCCATTGTGTTCTTTCGTCATTCCTGCTTTCTTATTTTAACAGGAACAGCATAGAACCTAGGTCATGATTTATTATATGTATGTATACACACGTGCACACACTATTTATTATGTATATAAACATACACAGGTCATAACTTACTTTACATACATACACACACCCTGGTCATGACTTATCATATACACACATACACACACACACACACGCACGCATGAATCAAATCAAAACCAAGGCTTTGTAAATACTGCTGCTTAAAATTGCAACTAACCTATAATTGCTGTTTTAAAAATTTACCTGTTATTATTTTAAGTCCTTTATCACATTCTTGTAGTAATTTTGTTTTTATATAGTAGGTCTATCTTTGTCAAAATCTTTTCACAAATAATATCTTTATTCTGATCACAAGCCTGTAGGTTCCAGGACCTGACCTTTTCTCTCTGACAGGGTAAGAAACCAACACAGAATTTGAGCAGCTTGTCCAAGTTCATTTGAGTGGTTAGTAATAAACCCAAAACTCTGTTTTTTGTAAATGAGAGGTTGACAGACTTTTCACTAGTGGAAAGGCAGTGTTAACACAAACTCAGATAAAATTTTAACTCTCTTACACTTTGTTAGAGAGCTAGAAATATCCGGTAAAGTGAAAATTGAGGGCATGTTTTTAATGTTTTTTATCCCAAATTTTCAGTTTCCACAGATTGAGTTGCCTAGAAGCCAAAACTGTTTCAAAATCAAACTGTGATAAAACAGTTCATAATAAGTTTGATGTAACTAAACTGCTGTGCGTGTTCACAGTATTTGCCCTCCCTCTATTCCATCTGTGGTTACAAGTTGAGCGTTGAGCTCTCTGTATGTGCGGCAGTGGGTGTCCTCGCAGAGAGAGAGGGTTATGGTTTAGGAGGGAGGAGTGCTCATTTGCTTTCATACACCGAGAGATGATTATAAAATAAATGCTAAGGCCCAAGGTCCACAGTGTGATATTAATGGGTGTCATAGAGCTTTGCTTGTTTTGTTTTGGGTTTTCACATCAGACCTTCCTTTTCCTCTACAGTCTAGTGAGATGCCCAAGTTAACAGAGCAGTTAGCAGGACCACTTCGTCAGATGCAGGTAAGATTTTTTCTGAACTTCCTATTTTATGAATAACATATTGTAAAATAGACAATTTTGTCATTCTAATAGTATTTATTATTCAACAGAGACAGCTTCCTTTGGGGTTAAAGATGTCACTTGATGTTCGTCACATCACTTAATGCTATTTGTAGCATGTCATAGCGTCACTGTGGTTCTTAATAATTAAACAGTCTTCCTCAGCAGTAGAATTCATGGCATGAGCTGCTGGGAGGGCAGGCTGGCATCACATTATGTCAATGGGCTGCACCAGCAGCTCGGTACCTGCTCTGTTTTCCTCCGATTGCAAATGGTGTCTTGATGGACTGGGACTTAGCCGATCTTTTTGTTTATTTTCCATTCTAGTTTACAACAAGGTTTTAAAATCTCTTTTATCCTAAGGAATTATTTATCTCTGGCTTCTCAAAGTCACAGTAGCTTATGGTAATGAATTTGTGTCTGTTTTCTTAGGGTGAATTGATTTTTGTCTACCTTTTCGATATTACACAGATAGGGAAGATGAACTTGAAGACATTGCACGAGAGGAATGAAAAGGGATTCATAGGAAAAGGCCCCTCAGTGGAGCAGTTAGCCATCCTCACTGTTACTCAGAAAGTTAAACTTCCAGAGCCATGGGAATCTCTGTAGCTGTAGGTGGTTTTGACCTTTTATTACCAAGGAGAAAAGAGTGAACCTAAATTTCTCATTATGGGAGGAGAAAATTCAGATTTACATTTTCTGAAGCACTGTTGGGGGGAAAGCATTATTTTGCTGTAGGATTTATGTTTCTCTAAATCTGTTTTATTACTGTTTTTGTTTTGTTAATGAAACAGAGATTGGTTAAATGCTACTCTTGAATAATTTAATAAGTTTCTGGGTTTTGGTGTTTTTTGTTTATTTTTGTTTTTTGGAATTTTTTTTCCTTTTTTTAAATGTATCTTTATTGATTTCAGAGAGAGGAAAGGAGAGGGAGGGAGAGAGACAGAAACATCAATGATGAGAGAGTCACTGATCGGCTGCCCCCTGCATGCCCCCAACTGGGGATCAGGCCCGCAACCCCAGGCATGTGCCCTGACCAGGAATCGAACCCCGATCGCCTGGATCCTAGGTTGATGCTCAACCCCTGAGCCACGCCCGGCCAGGCTGATTTTGGGGATTTTTATAAAAGTTTATTTGAGCCAAAAATCCCAAATGCTCCAGGAGTTTCTGTTTTTGTAGAAAAGGTAGAAGTTGGTGAAAATCATGATCTTGGTATATTTTTCTTAGTCACTTCAGTGTAGTGGGAAACTGTACTGTTTGTTCACTTAGCAGCAGAAAGGGCACCGGCTGCTTAGAAGTGGGACATCCACAGTGCAGGCCTCTTACCTAGGAAGGGAGGGGCCCGGTGGGGCGCTGGATTCTGCAGATAAAGAGAAGGGGATGTGGGAGATTGTGAGTAAATTTTAAGTATGTCTTTTATCTTCAAAGGAATGTGCTAAACGAATTGCAAAAGTTTCAGCTGAAGCCAAGTTGGAAATCGATGAGGAAACTTACCTCAGCTCGTTCAAGCCCCACCTCATGGACGTCGTGCACACCTGGGCAACTGGGGCAACCTTTGCCCACATCTGCAAAATGACAGATGTCTTCGAAGGTATGCTTCAGTTCTGTGTTACATACACTCCTTCTTGATGCAGGTACATATGTACCTAGGGTGACGTTTGTTTGTTTTTAATAAGAAAAAGTTTTTTTTAGAAAGTCACAGAGGTAGAAGTGAGTGGTAGAAGGAATGGGCTCAGGTAATAAGTTACAGCAAAAGAAGGGCCCTTGGAGCTTAGCAGAGAGAAGGGAAAAGGTAAGGGAGAGGGGAGGAAGACCCCAGAGGGCCTGGGTCCTCTCTCCTAAAGGCTTAAAGATGAGGATTTTAGGGGTGGTCCCAGGGCAGGATCTGAATAGAATATCCATCAGTTTTCCAGGTGTGTCCTTTAGGGTCGTTGTCTCTCCTGATTGGTCAGTACCAGGGCAAGGGGTCATTCATTAGTCAGTGCAGCTGGTCCTGAGGGCAGCTGGGGTGTCAGTTGTCTGGTTTCACTGCTTTTTTGGTTTTGCTGCTTTCCTGGGCCTGGAGCTGAAACACAGCTGAGGCCTAGATGTATTTGATGAGGGTCAGAACCTCATCGTCCTGAGGGCTTACTGCTTAAGGGCTATTCGTCGTCC